AATATTCAGTAACGTGAGGTAGGATTTTTCTGTGTAAGGTTTTGGCGCAGAGCAATGCCTGAATCGACAGAAGTAGAGGCCGCTTCAATGCCGCTGCACTCTGGCGTGCAAAAGACGTTTATTCATCATTTGACGTTTTCCCTTTTCGTCGCTTTACGTCGCTTTTGGCCACATTGACTAGTCAACAAAACGTCCACTCACATTTAATAGCCAGTATTGCTTATTAAATGCACTCACACTTAAAGTGAATCTGGTATTGTGTGAAGCAATTCTGTACTTGACTGTTATTATTCTGTACAGTCAAGACGCAGGGAAAACTGAGCACATGGCGCACACAATATTCAAGGGGGAAATATAATACATTTTATACCAATTATAAATAAGTGTTTTGGAAAAGTATGAAATTGTAAAGATAATATACCAGGAAAACACTGATTTTGCTAGACCATTCCCAAATTATCCGCACAACATTTGTGGATATAGATGAAACTAAACTTTATACGAAGAAGACAAATACGTGTTCCATCAAACTGTGAAGCCAGTGTGCTCCTTCAAGATCTTTTAAGCACCGAAATCGTTTCTTTACGATGTTTTCTTTTTATTTGAGTAACGGCTTCCGTAATTTTCATGAAAAATGGGCTAATTATTGGTTTAGGCTGTCTAAAGTATGCCTGTGTGGCTCACTCATAGTTTGTCTTAAATTGCTTTATGAAGTTAAACGAGTTTTTATGATAATTATTCAAGTATGTGGAAAGAGGGAAAGAGTGAGAAAAAGGTGAATATATTTAATAGTTTCATCTAGTGGGTGGGGTGTGTGGTGTGTGTGAGTGGGGTGGGTAGTGTGTGTGTGTTAGTGGGTGGGTAGTGTGTGTGGGTGGGTGGGCGGATAGTGTGTGTGTGGGTGGGTGGGCGGGTAGTGTGTGTGGGGGGTAGTGTGTTGTGTGTGTGTGCGTGGGTGGGTGTAGGTGTGTGGGTGGGTAGTGTGTGTTGGGTGGGTAGTGTGTGTGTAGGTGGGTAGTGTGTGTGGATAGGTGGTAGTGTGTGGTGGTGGGTAGTGTGTGTGTGTGGATGGGTAGTGTATGTGTGTGTGGGTAGTGTGTGTGTGTGGTAGTGTAGTGTTGTGTGGTGGGTAGTGTATGTGGGTGGGTAGTGTATGTGTGTGTGGGTGGTAGTGTATGTGTGTGGTAGTGTATGTGTTGTGTGGGTGGGTAGTGTATGTGTGTGGGTGGGTAGTGTATGTGTGTGTGGGTGGGTAGTGTATGTGTGTGTGGTGGGTAGTGTATGTGTGTGGGTAGTGTATGTGTGTTGGTGGGTAGTGTATGTGTGTGTGGGTGGTAGTGTGTATGTGTGTGTGGGTGGGTAGTGTATATGTGTGTGTGGGTGGGTAGTGTATATGTGTGTGTGGGTGGGTAGTGTATGTGTGTGTGGGTGGGTAGTGTGTCGGTGTGTAGTGTGTCGGTGTGTGGGTGGGTAGTGTGTCGGTGTGTGGGTGGGTAGTGTATGTGTGTGGGTAGTGTGTCGGTGTATGGGTGGGTAGTGT